CCCTGGCCAGCACGCTGTCCACCATTCTACCCTGCCTCTCACTGCCTACCTTGCCCCTCTCTCTCTCCCTTTGTCAACATCCTGCCCTCCCTTGTTGTTAAGATGGCCAAATACTTCATTTACTCTAAATTGATTGCCTGGAGACTACCTGCCTTTGACCCGAGAGCTGCTGTGTGTCAAGCTGCGGGAGGAGGTCTCCATTCTCAGGACAGAGGCCCTTGAGTACAGGGGTGCCTTCTTCCTTCCTGGATCTTCACCATCTCTGCACAGCTCTGATGGAATCAATGCTTTCTGTTGAGAAGCCAGGACCTTATGGAGGCAGATTCTTGGGCCGCCGGTTGCTGGAGTGAATAGCACCCTTGACCCCCTAGGTCAGACATCACTGCAGCTTGGCCCCAGCCTTAGAAAAGACTGTTATGAGTATTTGCTGGCTGGAGGAAGGGATCTCATGGGCTTTACAAATGTCCCACCAGCCATTTCAGATGGATCCTCACAGCTGGTGGGACAAAAACAGTCCTGGTACTGCCATCAGGGAATCAGGAGAGGAAAGGCTGAAATGACTGCTAGGACTTGGGCAGGCCATCTGTGGAGAGGACTGACTGCCCAGGAGGAGGAAAGGGAGGAGGCCTACCCAGAGGAGCACCAGGAGGGGCTGGGATTTCCCCACCTGCTTCACAATGAGAGGGAGCACACAAGCAGCCCCTGAAGGGGCAAGGCCAGAAGTTTAACTTGCTGTCCCTGCCTGGATCTGGGCTGGGCAAGCTCCCACTCTCCGTCAGTGATCACAGGAATGGTTGGTACAGCCTAAGATATTCAGTGCCCACCAGGCCCGCAGCTGGACAACAAGAAAAGTGATTGAGTTGGACCAACTGCTGGTGATGGGGTCAGGGCCCTGGCCCTGTGTTCTCCCAGAGTTCTGCCTTCGGACATGATCCTATAGGCTGCTGCTTTTTCTTGGGCCCCACCAGGCCCCCAGCTGGCAGCCCACAGACCGTGGCCTGTTGAGAAGGTGTTGTCTGTATAGGAAACTCATCCTGTGCAAGGCTGGGGATGTCTAGCGCCCAAACCCAGAGGTCAGAAACAATTAGACTGTTAAAATGGTCAGAGCTGAGCAGGATTGGGAATTAAAACCAGAGGCTTTTGCAGCTAGAATGGGGTTCAGAGAACAGCTGCTCCACCAATCCTCTCCTTTTACAGATAAGGAAACAGGCCCAGGAGGTTAAGTGACTTGGTCAAAGTCACACAGCAAATTAGTGGCAGAGCCGGGACTAACCTCATCCCTATGGTTTGGGCAACACTGTTTAGTCCTAAAGCTGAATGGCGGGTTAGGGGTTAGGCTGGCGAGGCCTCCAGCAGTGTCTGAGCAGCTAGTACCTTCAGGGGTGTGTCAGGGATGGGGATGGGTGCCTGGGCTTGGGTTGTGGAGCGGCTGAGAAGGCCCAGGAGGGCTCGGGGCAGCTGTGTGCTGCTTGGGGTTGGGTGTCTGGCTGACTCACACTCAGTACCCATGGCCACCTCCCCATTTTCTGTGCCTTATCTCACTGTTTCAGCTGAGTCCAAGTTGTTTACTCTGTTCCTCTCCAGAGGGGCTCTCTGTCCCAGTTGGACAGCTTACCTTTGGGACATAAGCCTTTGCCCCACAAGCCGTGGAGAGGACCAAAACCAAGCTGCTTGAGCCCACTGTCTTGCTGATAGTCCAGGCCTGCCTGCCAGCCAGAGGAGCCCCTTATGCATACCCAGTCCTACCAGCCTGCTTCTGGGAGCCGACAGTGGGGAAGGCACCTGGGAGGAGCCCTGGCGAAGGGCTGGACCTGACCCATGGGGACAGGAAGAAGACCTGGCTCTGCTGGCTTGTTCAGCCTTGGAGGAACAGCCTTCCTTCCTTCCTTTTTCCCCTTGTGCCACCAAATGGTTGCTCCTTCCAGAGCAGAAACTGGCAGACCATGCAAAGAAAGCCAGAACCCCTGATCCTCACCTACATGGGTCTGTAGCTGGGCACAGGCCATCAGAACAGGGATGCCAAGAGATGGAGAAGTGGGGACTGCCCAGCCACCCAGGGCCTTCCTACCCCTTAAGCAAGCACAAAGAAGATGAGGCAGACAACTGTCAGAGCTGAAAGTTCCTTTGGTTGCTCACAACTCAGGTATGCACACCGTGTGGCAGCTGGGCAGCAGAGCCCTAGTTGAGCGCCAGTCCCATGCACCCAGACCTGTGGCCAGATTGTGGACTTTGGCTGCCTCAGGCACTGCCTCTTTGCATGGGGTTTCTCTCCATTAGTAACCACAGCTGAAACAGATGTCCTCCACATTGTGCACACTGGTTCTGCCTTTGTCCTCGCAAGTTGATACTTGGCATTAGCATGAAACTTGTGGGTGTGGGAGGGTTTAGAGAGAATTCTAACAAAACATCCTATTAAATTGTACTTGAGAGATGAAAAAACTCCTGTTGTATTTTGACAGAATTATTTTTATTAAAATACACATCCATGAGCAGTCATGAGTGGTTTCTGTTTTGAGTCTTGGGTTTGGCACCCCTTGTGTGGCATACCCTGTCCTGGAGGGCTTGGCCCCTTCTCAGCCCATCTCTGAAGTTCCCAGGCCCCTGGTGCCCCCTCAAGGACCCTCAAGACTTTGAATGTTTGCAAGACCCCAAAGAGGATAGGTACTTAAGCTTAGATTCTCTCTTCCAAAACAACTTTAATCTGAGACAAAGAAAAAGTAGTAAATTCAGCTTCAAAAAGGTGGGCCACAAGAACTCCTCCCCTCAAAATAAGATTTTAATACATTCCGAATACGCCAACCCCAAACACTGGCCAGTCAGAAAGAGGTCTTCTGAGGGGTATTGAGGTTAGCTTCCTGTTTGAGGAGAAAGAGCTCATGCTCAAAATCCTAGTTCTGCTGTTTACTAACTAGGTGACCCTGGAAAGTTAACATTTCTCAGCTTCAGTTTCTCCATCCTTAAAATGTGATGAATCCTTCTACCCTCTGGAGGTAGAGGATTATAGCATGCATAGGGCAGTGCATGGCACATAGGGATGCAGTACATGTGAGCACCCTGTTCTGCTCATTCTGCTTCCCCTGCCCCAAGGCATCAGGGTTTTATGCAGAGGGATACAGTAGATTATGCTGGTGTCCACCTGAAGGTGGGACCGGAAACAGATTGCAGGCAAAGAAACCAGCTAGGAGGCCACTGCCGTAGTCCAGACACAAGAAGGCAGGTTTTATTTAGGAGATAAATGTTAGCACAACAGAATGAGTGACTGGGTGTGAGGGAGACAGAAGAAACAGGAGACAAGGCAAATGCAGGCTTTTGGTTGGGGTGATGCATGGATAATGGTGCCACAAGATAATATAGGGACAGAAGGGAACAGGTGGTGGCTAAAAGTCACTGGAGTGGGGAGGTTTGCTGAAGGAGAGCATGTGGAACCATATCCCAGAGAGCCATGGTTCCTGGAAAAGGGTTCTGTGGTCCAGTAAATTAGGAAAACTGTCATGGATGTTTACTGTGAACATCACCAGCTAATTAAAAGCTCTAAAAATCCTGTGTTAAGAGGTGTAGCTTAACCCAGCCCTTTCCAAACTTATATTATTATAGAATGCTTCACTCAGGGGCATTTTACAGGACTCTTACTCTATAGAACTAGTATAGAGAGAAGAATGGAGTATTAGATTCAGCACAAAAATCCTGGTTCCATAAGTAAAGCCAGAGTAGATTCATTTCTCTCTAGACTAGTGGTTCTCAACCGGGAGTGATTTTGCCCCCACCCCCCAGGGGTCATTTGGCAATGACTGGAGATATTTTTGGTAGTCACAGCTGGGGTTGGAGTGCTACTGGCATCTAGTGGGTAGAGCCCAGGGATGCTGCTAAACATCCTACAATGCACAGACAACCCCCCACAACAAAGAATTATCAGGCCCAAAATGACAGCAATGCTGCTGTTGAGAAATCCTGTTCTAGAGTGAAACTTTGAACAATGACTAAGATCAAACATAAAGACACTTTGATTCTGCCTCCTTTCTGCCTGGCTGTTTAGAATCCAGGGGGGAAAAGAATAAGAGTGATAAAGCCCCACAGAAGACAGGGGTTAGAGAATACGATTTCTCATCACTCATCACTCTGAGCTTCCATGCTCAAAGTAGCAGTGGTGGGAAGTCCTGTCTCCTCCTGCCAAAGCAAGGATAGCCCTGCTGGTCAGCAGGTCTCAGCGGGAACAACTGCCTCAGCTCAACTAACATGTTCTATCATCAAAGGCTGCTCCGGAAAGATGGCCAGGCCGCCCTCCTAATGCCAGCTGAGCAGGGGTCCAGACTCTCACCAGAACATTCAGACAAGCAGGGGTGGGGGCTCCTTATGCAAAAATAAACCCTAATCCCACATTTCAAACATAGCCTATTTTACACTAAGGCTTACAGGCTTCACTACTCTAGCGGACAGTCTGGTGAACCATAAGGGTAATCTTGTTACAAAATGGTATTTACTTGGGGGTACACAAGCTCCAGTAAAGAGATCAGGGGGACTGAGGTCACAGTCCTGAAGAGCACTGATACCTAAGGAACAACCAAAGAAGACCCAGCGGAAGAGGAAACCAGACAGGCACCTGAAAGAACAGAAAAGGGAGAGTCATTAGGAGTCAGGAAGCCGGGAAGTCGGGCGAGCTCGAGATGAACAGGCATTCTGCAAGGCTAGGTCGATATCCAACAGCAGATCGTCCCTCATTACAGGACAACCAAGGCCCACCACAGTTCCCAGAACCCTCTCGCTCTTGATGCCGGGCGGCGGACCGGAAAGAAGCCGAGACTAGAAGACTGCTCGCTCCGCCGCCTACACCGCCGGAAATGAATGACCAGGGCCTCCAGCCAGGCTACTTAACCTCCGCCCCTAAAGAGCGAGCATGCGCAGCTCCCGGTCACGGCCCCTCCCCACGCGAGTCTACTTCCGTCAGGGAGCATGCGCAGATATCTCCGCGCCCCCCCCCCCGCCCACGCCCCCTCCTTGCCCCTCCCTGTTCAGAGCCCCCGGTTCCTTAGAAACTTGGCGGCGCGTTCCCGGTGTTGGCGAGCTAGACTCCTGGGCTTGTGCGTCCCCACGAGCCTCCCTCACGGAGGGCTGGTGGCCGCCAAGACTGGTCCGGACCCATGGTCTCCGGTGCGGAGCGGGGCGGGCGATGCCAGCGTGCCAGGTGAGGGGCGGTCCGCCGCGCGGGTGAGGATGAAGAGGGGCATGGCGCGGCTGCCAGCTGGGTGGGCCGGGCCTCCTCCGCGGCCCGCCGCCCGAGGTCGGAGGCGGAGATACGCAGAGCCCCGGCTGGAGGGGGCCGTTCTAACTGCCAGCACCCGCGCGGAGTTCGCCCTCCCCACCTCAGAAATAGGACCTGCGAGTTGGGTCCTAGGATTGTAGAATTTTGGCTCCTGGTAGGATCTCGGCCATAAGCCATCCCTTTACTGTACTCAGAAACTCAGGCTCCCCCGCCCTGTGTGCTGAGCAGACCCCCTACCTGTGTGAGGACCGAGGCTTTGTGAGGTGTGGAAGCCTCGGACAAAGGGCTCGTGGGGTAGCTGGTCCGTCGTCTTTCAGAGCGAGATGGGACTTGAGGGGGTGGTAAATCTTTATTAAAGGAAAGAATGTTCAGGTGGCAGGTGGGAGAAGGGACGCTCCAGAAGGTGCGGGTGGCTCTGCCAGTCCCCGAGTGCCCACTGGCCACATCTCGATGGCCCTGGGCTACCTTTGAAGCTCAGTAAGGGAAGGTGGACTCGGGGAGACAAAAGGTGAAGCACGGTATTCCCATCAAGGCATTATCACATGAATGGTGAGGAAGGAAGAGGGGGCAGAGAGATCAGGACTTGTGAATGGTTGTGTGAAGAGTTTACCTCCCAAACTACAGCAGAATCTAAAGAACGGGACAGGAATAGAAAAGTTTAAAGCTGCGTCGGATAGACACTAAGGAAGGTTATAAACTACTTTATTTATGTTCGTTCTCACAGTGTCCTGCTGAGAGCAAGACACATTAGGAAGAAAGTGGGTCCCCTTTGAGTATCCAGAACCGGGAACAGGCACCGCCCAGAGGACCTTTGTAAGCTGTGGGGCACAAAGGTCTCAGAAGGAAGACCCCTTAGTGTATGACCCTTCAGTTGAAGGGAAAAACTGTTTAAATTAGAGAAGACATTTAATGTGTTATTGTGATATGGAGATGATTGTCTTTCAGAGCGGGGGAAACTAGATTCATTCTTGATAAGGAAACCTATTTCCTTCTGAAAAGCTACACCAGGGAACAAAAGAGTTTTAAAGCTATCCATTTTATAGAAAATGTGAAAAATTTATTACTTTTGGACTAGGAGTTGAGAGAATCTGTCTGAACCAGGAGGTCAAAATTTCCAGCAGTTATGTTGATGGACTTCCCATTTTACAGATAAAGATTCTGTTGTGAAAGGCTTTCTCCTACCACCTGGTTGTCCTACTTTTCCTATGGAATGATTGGTCTGAATCTGATTAGCTATTATTTTTACTTGCTAGGAAAATTCGAATATATGATTTCTATAGTAATACTAGAACCCACTAGTAGTAAGATTACCAATGAGGAAAAAAGCTCCTCCCACCAAAAAGGACAAAGATTTGTAATATGGAAAAAGAAGTGTGTGACTTTTAAAAGATGGTCATTGATTCTAATCATCAAAGTCAACTTGTTGCTAGCTTGATAAAACTAATTTTCAATGTATATTTGACTTTGCAGCGGGTTTTTTTTCCTCAGTGATAAGATACATTGAAAGTATGATAATGTTAATAGGTCACATTAGTTAAGGAAGAGGGCGTTGTCTTAGGTTCATAAATCAATGCCAGACCATAACTATGGAAATTGTGGCTGTGCATATTATTGACTTTTCTTGCATCTTTGGAAATATTTTGTATAAATACCTTGAGAGATATAATGGGGTATTATCAGAAGTGTATGTAATCTGTGGGGAAAATTGGCACTGTTAACTAAATCCTGTCAGAAAAGCTTTATGATCATTGTATTCTGTGTAGGAACCCTCATTACTTAAGTGTTGGCCCAGGGAGAAGGCAGACAGGCCAAAATCAAGGTAAGATGGAAGGGAGCAGTTACCCTCTTTGGAGCTGGATGGGGTGTGCGAGGGTGCTTTGAATGTAAGTGCAAATACTTCCTTGAATAAGCAGTTGGAGAAGATACTGCTTAAATGTGATGAGTGTGCCCCATGGATTTGTGTGCATTTTTTGAGCTCCTCTAATCAGAAAGACACTTGTCTTCAGAAGAGAAAGGTGGATTTAGAAATCCTCAAAGTGTTTCTGCGTTGCTATAGCAATGAAACCTTTGACAAATAATTACTTAACATCCACGCCATTTTCTGGGGCAGCTGAGGGCAGTTATCAAATCTGGCCTGTAATAAAGTAATCAACAGTATTTAACAGGCTAACGTAGCAGATAAACCAGTAATGCTAACAGGATCTACTTTCACTGAACTGATTTTCCAGTTGTATGGTAAGAGGAGAAATGAAATGGTGATGCACTGCCATGTGATGTAAGAAGTTGTCATACATGTATCAGTATTCAGAAAGCACAGGATTCAAATAGAGACCACTAACTTAGAAGTGGGAGAAGAGCCTTTCTGATGCCTGACAAGTCACTCATGCATATTTATAGTGGAGGTCCAATTCTAAGATAAATCCACTGTTGGAATTGGACAGCATCTAGGAAAAAATTAGAGATTTTTCTGTTTTTGAGAATTCATATACAGTATAGTAATGGGACATTACTTTTCTTAACATACAAAAGTAGTAGCTTTGTATTAGTAAACCTCGAGGGTCTAAAAATTTAGGTGTCAGCTGTTTTAAAAAGTGGCGAATGAAAGATAACTTGAAATAAGCTTGGGTTTATGAAAGTCAGACTGTTAAGAGATACTGAGAAAAACATGAAAGCAGTAAGACTTCCCTTTAACACTCACTTATGAATTAGCCATTAGGTCAGAAATGAGCTCAGTAACGCACCAGCTCTTTAAACCGAGACAAAGGAAATGAGAAATGGAGTAAATATTTCTGTCTCCTGGTGATAGGAATGAACACTTAGAAAATAGAGATTAAACATTAAGAAGGAAGAGATGAATATTCCTGCATTACTCAGATACACTCAAGCCCTATCTTTAAGCACTTGTTCTTTTTTTTTATAATTTTTTTTTAATTAATTTATTTTTTCCCCCAAAGCCCTAGTAGATAGTTGTATGTCATAGCTGCACGTCCTTCTAGTTGCTGTATGTGGGACGCGGCCTCAGCGTGGCCGGAGAAGCGGTGCGTCGGTGCGCGCCCGGGATCCAAACCCAGGCCGCCAGCAGTGGAGCATGCGCACTTAACCGCTAAGCCACGGGGTCGGCCCTGAGCACTTGTTCTTTAGTGTCTGCTCTTAGAAGGGGAGTTGCAAGTAGTGCTTTTGTCCTAGCAGTTCTCAAGGTAGCCAATGACAAAATGCCATACTCTTTGGGACCCAGGATAGCCGGGAATTGCTGGAGGGATAGCTCACTCTCCTCGCCACCTCTCAGAAATTCCCACAAATTTCTTCTGTGAGGGTTTCTGTTGGTCCTCTACCATGAAGGATTAGGAATGAAGGCTGTGAGGAGTGGGAACTGAGTACTGAGGGCGGACTTCCTTTCTGGCCTGGGATAACTGCTGCTCTCAAACTGTCAGCTGTCAATTTCTCATGAGAATAGATAACCCCCAAATAGAACCAGAAACACTACTACTTGGCTTTGAGATTTACCATATCGCTTTACAACCTCAAAATTGTTATTATTTACTTTCACAATTGTATTTTGCTTAGAATAATAACATTAGGCAAATCATGTAACTTCTGGACCATAATTTCTTAACCTGTGTAATTTATAACAAAACAAATTGAAAATGTCTAACACTAGAGAAATGAAAAGCTGGTTCATGTAGTCAGTGAAATATGTAACCCATGGGCCGGCCCTGTGGCTTGGTGGTTAAGTGCACATGCTGCGATGCTGGTGGCCTGGGTTCGGATCCCGGGTGCGCGTTGAGGCACCACTTCTCTGTCCATCCTGGGGCCGAGTCCCACATACAGCAACTAGAAGGGTGTGCAGCTATGACATACAACTATCTACTGGGGCTTTGGGGGCAAAAAAAAAAAAAAAAAAAATTTTTAAAAAAAAAAAAAAAGAAATATGTAACCCTTAAAAACTGTCTGTGATAACATGAAAATTGCTTGTGTCAGGGCTGGCCCAGTGGCATAGCGGTTGAGTTCACACGCTCTGCTTCAGCGACCTGGGGTTCACCAGTTCGAATCCTGGGCATGGCCCGACGCTCCGCTCATCAAGCCATGCTGAGGTGGCATCCCACATAGAGCAACTAGAAGGATGTACAACTATGATATGCAACTATCTGCTAGGGCTTTGGAGAGAAAAAAAGAAAAAAGGAGGAAGATGGGCAACAGATGTTAGCTCAGGCCAGTCTTCCTCAAAAAAAAAATGCTTATGTCAAAATAGTATATGAAAAATATCAGGATATGAAGTTGTGAATACAGTTTGATCACAAGTACATTGAACTAATGTAAAAACTTCGTAAAAAAAGGATATAAGAACACAGTAATTTTCTATAGTGAGTATATATTTAAAAAAACAAACCCCCCTAAAAGTTTCTTGCTGGTGTAGAGGATGATACTGACCTTGTTTTCTCTCTGTGGGGCTTCGCCCCGTCTCGTTCTGACTGTATTAAAAGTGCTGGAGGGAGGGGGCCGGCCCAGTGGCGCAAGCGGTCAAGTGCACACGCTCTGCTGCGGTGGCCCGGGGTTCGCCGGTTTGGATTCGGGGCACGCACCCACACACTGCTTGTGGAGCCATGCTGTGGCGGTGTCCCATACAAAGTAGAGGAAGATGAGCACAGATGTTAGCTCAGGGCCAGTCTTCCTCAGAAAAAAGAGGAGGATTGGCATCAGATGTTAGCTCAGGGCTGATCTTCCTCACAAAAAAAAAAAAGTGCTGGAGGGAGAAGGGTGGCAGGGTCTGGGCAACACTGATGTTTCATATCTCAGGTGTCAGTGAACCAAAGAGTAATGTAGTTACATAGATAATGAATTTACATGTGTATAATTGAGGGGTGACTGTACTGATCTTATGCTGCTTTCTAAGGCTGCTATTTGTTTGGTGCTTGTTGACTGAT